CTCTCTCTCTCTCTCTCTCTCTCTCTCTCTCTCTCTCTCTCTCTCTCTCTCTCTCTCTCTCTCTCTCTCTCTCTCCCTACTTTCACTCAAACTTTTTCGACTTTCTCGCAATCAACGGAAGCAATAGAGTTCATCGTGCTGACATTCTTGCTTTCCGTGTCCGTTTCGCTCTTGGCGATGCTCGACGTGGAGACGCCTATGTGAGATTCACAATGCATGGGCAAGATTCCAGCGTTGGCGTCCTCTATCGCTTTTCTCAGCTGGGAACAAACGAAAAAAAAAAAATAAATAAATAAATAATTTCCAGACAATACAGTAGGAAAGGTGCAAGGAGTTGCGTTCGACAAACCTCTTTCAATCCCACAACCCCGACCAGCCTCCCGATAGCCGTCACGTAAGCGTGATTCACCCCCACCATGCTGAACAGACTGTGAACCTTCAACAAAGATGTTCGCTCGACCAGCTGGAAGGGCGCTGGATCGATGTGACACCTCGAGAAATCCACCTCCAACGACATTTCGCTCTCCTCCCATCGTTTCTGGTCCTCTGCCGACATATCTATCACCCTCTCGCGAGGCTGATCACGTTCATAAATTATTTCTCCAACTTCCTCTACTCTATGTTCAGAAATCAGGAAGGAATCGTACGCACCAGTTGCACTTTCTTCGAGGTGGCAGGACTTGGCGCCAGCATTGGCGTGTGCGGCGGCACCTCCTGACTGTCGCGCCTCACGCCAGCACCGGCTCCGATCTCCGGATCCGGATCCACGTCTTGCAAAGTGGCCGACTTGCGGAAGATCGCCTCGAAGGCAAGGCGGATCCTGCGATTGAAAACCCGGTGAGAGAGAGATATATACCTTTCCTCGTTCACCGCTGAGAAATATCTATAAATTTTAGTATCGTTCGAGCGAATAAAACGTGTTTTACCTGCTCTCTGCACCGGTCACAGTGGTGTAAGGAGTAGCGGCCGGGCTCACCAACGGGCTGAATCCTTTCAGCGTGAAGGAATTGGTCTTCTTCAGGATGGATTTCTTCGGTTGCGAGCCAAATATCGGGGAATGGTAGGTGTGCTGGAAGAGGGGTGTCGCGTGAAACGAGCGAAGCGAGAAAAAAGACGTGATACGCAGGCGCCTACTTAATTGGATAAACGTTCATAATTGTGTTCATTTACGTCATTTACGTGACTCACGTGATCAGGAGCGGCACCGTTGTTAGGTGACATGGTTAAATCGTTAACACTTTGCCTTTGCATCTTAAGAATATCGGGAGCAGGAATCACTTCGAACCTGGACGGCCTCCTCGTTCTCTCCTGATCCCTCAATTGTCGTTCCATCTCCTCCCGAGCCCTCTCTTCGGCCTCCTTGTGCCACTTTTGAGCCACCTGAAAGAAAATTCGAATCGATAAATTCGAGGATCGGGAGAAAATTTCCAAGCGGACGATCGAGTAGTAAGAGAGAAAGAGAGAGAGAGAGAGAGAGCACCTGCAACCTCCTTTCACGCCCTATGTGCTTCTCGATCAACTTGATTAATTCCAATCTCTGGATAGATCCGAGCAGGATCATCGAATCGGGATTGTCGACCAGTGGAAAACCGCGAAGCTTGCGGTTTTCCTTTAAAATTTCTTTCAACTTCTGATAGGAAATTCCATGCCAGATATATTTTACGTCACGAACCATAAAATCTTCGACGTACACGTTGTACATTCCTGCAACACACACACGCAATTCTCGCTTAACAATTTTTATTTCCCAAGCCGGTCGCAAGCGGGAAGAAGATGTATCCCGACGTTCATTACCTACCTTGATGAAACTTCCTTTGGGAAAGGAACTCGTTAAAAGTAACGAAAGAAAAAGAGAGAAATTTTTAGAAATCGATACATTAGATCGAAATAATCAAGATCACCGGTTTACCTGAACTGGAAGGCAACAGGTCTGGAAGATAGGGCAGCTTCTTGATCAAAATGATACTGTCGTATATGCTGGGCTGAAGAAGGGCGGCAATCGCGTTGCTGATCAACACGGCGATCATGATCGGGACGATGTGAGTGATCTGACCTGTCATCTCGAACACGATAACGCTCACCGATATCGTATGGGTCACAGCACCGGAAAATGCAGCTGCCCCAACGGTAGCGTAGCCTCCTGAAAAAAGGGATTCTTTTCGATCGTGTCCCCTCGCATCGAATCGATTCGAGAGATTACCTGGTACGATGGGCGTTATGATACCGCCGTAACGAACGCCGTTGGGAAACCACAGAGCCATAGCTTCGCCCATGGCTCTGCCCAGAGCAGCGCCAATCTTGAACACGGGGATGAAAATTCCCGATGGCACGGGAACCGTGGAGCTTATGATCGAGAAGATGAACTGGAAGCAAAATTTTCATTCTTTCTTCCTTCCTTCCTTTTTTTCTTCCCTTTTGGTAAGAAATCATTTTATATATATATTTACCGTGAACGCAACGAAACCGATCAAACCGATGAACACGTCGGTATAGACGGTGGACCAATGCTTCACTATGTTCATTTCTTCGACCCCCAACTCTTGCTTGGTCCAAGTGAAGTTGGTGAACAAACCGTACACTTGATCGTGAGTATTCAAATCACCGGCCATGAATTGGCCTAATCCCAGTGGGAAAGAAACGGACGAGACGAGCAAGGAGACGATTCCAGGGTACAAGAAGCGGCTGGAATAATTTTCTTTTTTTACAATTCTACGAGGATGAATAAGGAAAATAACATGTCCTGCGCGAAACACTCACTTTTTCTGCAGGAAGCTGTTCATACTTTTGTTCTTTCTCATGAAGATCACGTATTGCCTGTGCAGCCAAACGTAGAAAGCGCCCCCTATACCGCTGCCGACTCCTATCAACGCGAACACGAACAATTCTTGCGGGTCGAAGGGGAAGTCCATGGTGAAATTGGTGGCGAACATCGCTGTGATCGTTTCCTCCCGTTGAAACCAGATGGCGAGCAAACGGAACATGGTTGCCCCGCAAACAGCGGCGAAGAACCCCCTCCAATAATTTCTCACCGCGAAATACACCGTGGTTACCTCGATGCTGAACAGGACACCGCCGATAGGGGCTGCGAAACAGGCTGCCACCCCTACGGCGCAGGCCGCGGCGAGCATCTCGCAGTTCCTGCTCTCGTTCTCGTAGATCCCTTGGAAACTCGTCACCAATTTGGACAAAAGGGTGGCCACGATACTGGCGATGTGCACGAATGGGCCTTCCTTGCCCAATGGTAGGCCGGAGCCCAGGGTCGCGGTCAGACCTATCACCTGTTAGACATTACGCTGGCTCTACACCGATGCTCGAAAACATGCAGAGCGGGGGATTTCGACCGGCTAATAGAATCAAAAATTGGATCGCTTTTTTTTTTTTTTTCTAAGAGCGCAAGCTCGTCGCGTGGCTGAATCGAGTTTTTTTGTTTCTTTTTCTTTTTTCAATTTATCGAGGTTAATAACGATCGAGTTGTTGGAAAGGGAAGGAGAAAATTGATACGGTGTGAAGAAATCAAGTCTGATTTTTCTAACCTTCGCTACGAGCGTACGAAAGGTGAGATACTCCTTCAAGGCCACCCCGCGTAGGATCGTTTTCATCTCCGGAATGCCGGATCCTATGCTCTGCGGTGCAACGATGTGCACGAAGCCGGCGCTGAAGAGGATCAGGCAAACCGGCAAGGACACCCAGGCGAGATATTGAAGCGCCGGATGGTGCGTCAGATCCTGATAAAGCCATATCCTGGCTGGTGGAACAAGCGATACGGTTAACTTAACGATTTCGCCTCGTCTTTGCCCGCGTAATAGATACGAAATGGATTACGAGCATTTGGATCAATGGCGTGGAAAATTGGAACAAACCTTGGAACAATGATTGAATTTTGAAAAGAGAGGAGGGGAAGGAGGGGGATAGGAAGAAGAGAAGATCAATTTCGTTACGCGTGAAATTATTATTGTTACAACTATGGAAAAAAAAAAAAAGAATTAGGGAAAAATTAATTGGAACGAACATTCTTCTTCTTTATTCTATATGGAAATTAGAAATAGTATGCGGATAGCGTATCAAACTGACCGTTGTTACACATAGAAATGCCACGGTCCATGGCATAACTGATGAGCGCCATGATTATGCCAAGAAGGGCCAAGAACACCCAATCCTCCCCTAACCTAGCTCCCGTGTGCTTCCACGCGAAAGCCAATAACGCGACCAACTTCCTGCAAAGGGGTCCTCTTCTCGACTTCCTGAGATCCTCCTCCCTGCTGTCGTATTTCCGCCGTGTTTTCTCGTACTTGAGCTTCCGTGCCTCTTCTTTTGCGTATTCACCCAGATCCTTCGTGTAGCGACCATACATCTAAACGCAGCCAATCATTTTTCATCCGCTATTCTCGCCTTCGAATTTTCGCATTTTTTCTTTTTTTTTTTTTTTTTTTTTTTTCTTTAACGCGAATATTCGGAGAAAACACGATATTCTTTTCTCGATACGATGAGACAAAATTTATCAAGCGAAATGTGTATCGATTATTATTCAATTTTTAGATTCATCGATCATCAATCGAACGTGATGATAGAATTAATTTTCTGGATATTTCGAAATCGTTAAGAAGTTTGTGGCTCTCGTCTATTCGAGGAAATTTTTCCTTTCTTGGAATTGATTTCGACGGATCGATCGCAATACGAGTTCAATTAATTGAAACGATTCGATTCCACTGTCTTCGATCGATTCTCTCCGAAATCACCGTTTTTGATTAAACGAACGCATGATTTTCCAACGAGTTCAGATAAAGTTCGATCTCGTTCCCGATTTATCTGATCACGTTAGAACCACCGCTCTTTACGTGCATTATCATGCAATTGCAGCAAAAATCTACTCTGCCCACTCGTGGATTAATAAAATTGCAAATTTCGTGCGCAAGCTGATTATTATTCGTTCAAAGAATAATGAAAAAAAAAAAAAAGGCGATCGCCCGAGTTACAGAAGAATTATGAAACGATTTTCAAAAGATATTATCAATATGCATGGAAAAAAAGAAAAACGAGAAATAAATATTCATCGTTGATAATTGTCGCACAACACGATTAAAATAATAATAATATCAGAGATAACGGAATTATCGGTGCGAAATTTTAACAGAAGAGGAACAAACATCGCAAACGTGAACGCAAAGTGTCGTTGAAAGCAAAAGAAAAAAAAAAAAAAAAAACAAAATGAAAAGGATTGATCGTAAGTTGGAACTTACTACGCGATGCGAGACGAACGGCATATTATATACTCGGATCGACTCGAACTCTCGAAACGAAGACAATCCGAGAAAGGAGCGCGAATTGTACGAGTGAATCGCGAATCTCGAACTAGGCAACAATGAGCAAACAATTTGAGACGCGAGCGCGAGATTACATCGGGGTTCGATGATCTTTGTTTAAAGAGTAACACAAGCCGTATCGATTATTACATCGATATTATTACGATATCGATACGTTTAGGAGGTGGAAAACAAGCGGAGAGAAGGGAGAGGAAAAGAAAAAAAAACATTGGATCGAATCTGTTCAACGCAAGAAAAACCTCTCGTTATTCTCACTTACGAGATACTCATCGTTACAGACGAAATAGGCTCTGTTCAGAACGAAAGCCGGCATGAAAATTGGATGAAAGATGTTTTGACGGTGTCCTGAAAAGCCGATATTCTTACCACAGATTCGGCCGATTATTAAGTCACGGACGATGCATTCTTCGAGTATAGAAAAAATTTACGGGTCACCGTCGGCCTATCGCACATTTTTCCCCACTTAATCGTCGACGACCAACGAAACGAGTCGTTCGATCGTGGTTGTCTCCTCCCGACTTGAATATTTCCAAAAATTTCAATTCATGCGAATTGCGAAAAATTGTCTGTCCAACTATCGCCAGTTCCGTTCAATCGGTTTGCCTCTTGGCAAACTTGAATATCAGATATTTCTGGCGACGAGTTTACCGCAAACCGTCCATTACTCTTTTTATTGTTTTTCCGCTATAACGATTGTCAGGGTCTATTTTGTTACATCACGTTTAATCGAAATAACCAAGGTTTCCTCATCGAAATTTAATTCTGTCGTTTGCAGAATTTAGTAAAATTTCACAGTTGGCCGTTAATATTGCAACGTACGCGCGAGTCATCCGCCACGTTACTATTGTTTTCTTTCCACTTTGGCGAGTGCCAGGATCCATTTGTTAAACCGACGGTCAACAGATGAGTCAATACGACTCGCAGACGGATTACCAAAAAAAGACCTCAGCGTCTACCAATTTGTTTCGCACTCCCCTTTCGATTCGCCCCTCTTGGACGAAAAAAACGTCCCAAACGCTTTCCAATTCGTTCGAATATACTCTTCGTTCACCATCTCCTGATTATCGATATCCACCCTCAACTTTTCCACAACTTTTCCCCGTTTTCGAAACGTGCCACGTTAAATCGTGCCCGATCAGAAGGTGCACGCGAATTTGCAGACGAACGACAACTGAACCATTTCCCTTCCCTTCCTTTCGAACTCGAGCCACGATATTTGTTGAAATTTGGCAACGGTCAAAATCCTTATTTTTAGCGGTGCCCACCATCGGTCAACTACGATCCTCCGCTCCATTGTCTGTCATCGATTAAAAAACGATCCCTGAGAAATCTCTCCTTCGAGAGAGAAAGCTCGAGAAATTCGAGAAAAGTCCAAAAACCAATCGAAAAACCAAATTCCCCAATTTTCCCTCCCTCCTCGAAACTCGCGCGCGTTTCGCAATCGTCGAATACCATTCTCGAATACGTCTCTATCCGTGTTTATCGAACGAGCTTTGGAAACCTCTTTGGACCGCGAAAACCGGACAGAAATAACCGGCAATTCGCTATTCGGTTTACTACGAATTCTACGATTACGTGTAGTGGTCGTTGCTACTTCGACGCGCGCGTTATTGCACACGTCGGATAAAACGTACGCAGCTCTCGAGCGTGAGAACAATCGAGTGTGCGTTTCAAGGGAAGGAAGGGTGTGTAAAAGAGAGCTCGAGAATTCTTCTGCTAGATATTGATTCCATGTTGTAAGAGTTTCGTTCTCTCTCTCTTCTTTTTTTTCTTTTATCTATTTTCCACGAACGATGGATAAAGGTGTTCGAGACGCGGAAAAAGGGGGCGTGAAATAGGGGGAGAAGGAACGGCGGAATCGAGAGACACGTAGTAGAGATAGAGATCGGAGCGAAGCTGGATTTGACGTCAACGACTACGACGACGACGACCACGCTCCACTGGGCAGTCGGCCGCTAACCCAATTTTATTAATTGATCGTAATCAATTTACGATACGGTTAATTTACGGCCTAATTTCTGGATATAGGAGCAGACGGGATCGATGGAAAGGTAGGGAAGTTGAAACAACTTGTGTTTTTCCTTATTCTCCTACTTTCGAAGATCGGGAAATCTTACGGATTTCGGATATTTAGCTCCGTCTTTTTTAGGGTCACGGCACCCGCGTGTCTGTTTATTGCTAAATTATCTTTGAATCGCCTTGGAGCGTGTCGCCACGTAATTTTAGAATCTAATTTCGGGCCGCGCAATTACAACAATTTACTCCGATTCTTATTTTTAGATTTTCGTATATAGGCGTTCCATTTTCTTTCGTATAATTCCATACAATCTCTCTTCGTAGGAAAAATATATAATTTCCAGCAACTCGAAAGTACGACCGCTTCCGAGACGAAGTGAATAAACGCCCCCGCTCTGGCATTTCCTATGTGACACATAAGCAAACCACGCGCTCGCTATTCCTCTCCAACGAACGACAAAACTACATCGATTTTTAAAATTTTTAAAATTGATGATCCTATGCGCTTCGTTTTTTGGAAATTGGAAATCGATCAAATATTCGATACGAAATTCGCTCGAAAGTATGAAAATGTGTAAATAATCTACTGGCATTTTCTTTGAGAGAGAGAAAAAAGAAAAATTTGATGGAAATTATTCGTGAGGAGGGGGGGACGAGAAAAGATTTCCGCCCGGAAAAACGAGCGCGATGCAGACGCTTCACCCGGAAACGGTGCATCTGCATATCAGGCAGGCGCGACGTACGTGTATTCGTGCACACGTATGCGAGATGGTTGTGTCTGTACGCGTGTCGAATCGAAGCTGCATGTCACGTGAGGGGGATCAGCATGCTGGTCACGCGTGTCGTATAAACGTAACGAGTCCTTAAGCGTTCATTCATGCAGATAAAGGCATTGTTTAGAAAGGCGTCGCTGCAATGGTCGGCGTACCCTTTTCCGTTTGTTGGATACCGTTGCGAATTGAAACGCGTTTACGCGAAATCATCAGAATTTCCCGCGAATCGCGATTCGGAAGAACGGGGAAAAAGGACGAGGCGAGAAAACGAAATCGACGAATAAATAATTTCGTTCGCATAAATGCTTCGTTCGAATAAATAAATCGAATACGAGAAATTTACAGATCCAAGTCGATTTCGTGGAAGAATTCTACGATGGAAATCGAATTGGACGTCTTCGTTCCGTATATTTCGTATGTTTAACATTCGTTTAAATCGTATCCGTTGACGAGCATTGGCTACATTTCTTTTTTTTATTATTATTATTTTCGTTAGGAGAAAGCGTGAATAAAAATAAACGAGGTATCTTGCAAGTTGCAAGTTCGCGGCTCGATTACGCTCGATCGTTCCGATCCCTCGACGCGGAATTTCGTGTCAAGGTCGTGTGCCGCGTGAGTCTGACATTTCATTGACATTTGTGCGAAACCCGTTCCGCGCGGCAAATTTCTCGGATATTTCGGATCACGCGGGAGGATATCGAAGAAGCTCTCGAGAAGGTCTCGTTCTCGATATCGGACGAAAGACGGGCGACAGAGGTGCGTCCGACAGGGTTGATCGTGACCCGTTATTGCCAACGTTTATTTCAAATGTTACCCGCTGTTGCCCGCTTGGCAACCGTTCAAAGGTCGCCACCTTACCGTTATACTACTTTCCCCTAACAATTCGTGCAAGAGATGAAAGAAAAAGATGAAAAAAAAAAAAAATCGTTCAGAAGCAATGACTTAACATCGATCGCGTTTGAATTGCCAATCGTTAATTCGGTTAGGTTGCAACAGAAATACAAGGAGAAAATCGTAATTATCAGGAGGAAGGAAAACGATGAAACGTATCGGCGGTTAATCCGATAATATTGGCGGGCGTCTAAATCGTCTGGGTTTCGTCTGGGTGGCGCGCGATTTAATTATAAATCTGTCTGGTTCAACGGCATCTGATTCTAGCTATATTGTTGCCGGATTCTTAGATCCGATTCCGGGCAGAGAATTTCGGACGAATTTCCACGGATGCCACGGGATCGAGCGAC